AAAAAAAAAATAGTATGCCTACTTCAATTAAGAGGATCAATTATTTTTTAATCATTTATAACAGTGCCAATTATATATATAGTATATGTTTGAAACAATACCTTCAGCACCATTCTTTACAGCTGCTTTTTGTTTTATTGTTCCAGCTTTACTGAGGTATAAGTGGCAAATAAAAATTGTATATATTTAAGGTGTACATGTGATGTTTTGATATACATGACTACCACAATAAAACAGATTCACATTTCCATCACCTCACATAGCTACCGTGTGTGCGTGTGTGTGTAGTGAGAACACTTATGATCTACTCTCTTAGCAAATTTCAAATACACAATACAGTATTATAAACATCATGCTGTATATTAGATCCCCAGAATTTATTCATCCTGCATAACTGAAACTTTGTACCCTTTGACCAACATCTCCCCATTTCCCCCACCCCCAGTCCCTAACAACGACTGTTCTACTCTGTTTCTCTAAGCTGTGCTTTTTTAGATTCCACGTGTAAATGATAACATGCAATATTTGTCTTTCTTTGCAGCCACTTTGAAAATGTTACTCTTCACACATCATTTATATTTGTATCTTCACCACAAGTAGAACCGTTGGCTCTGTCAGATGGGAAAACTGAAGCCAAGCCCCTTTTGCCAGTTTGAAGGGTGAGTCAGCAGTGTAATTAAGTCACAGCTATGTTTTCTCACTTCACCGGGACTCTTTCCACTACACACACAACTGAAAGTGTTAAAGTAAAAACGCCCACCAGCTTAAACTGTCAGAAAAAAAAGTAATGGAATCTCCACAAGGAAGAAGACAGGACACAGAATTAGGAGACCTGGGTTCCATTTCTGGACTCAGCCCCGAGTTGGCTCCCCTGACTTTGGCATGTCACCTGCCCTCAGTGCACAGGAAAGCTGTCAAGGCCAAGGGTTCAAACTTTCTTCTTTTTCGGGAAAGGCAAGTGTGATTCATGATCCCCTTTGAGATGCAGATGAAAAAGAAAAGACGAATGGGCACGAAGTTCCCTGAAGCCCGTCCAGGCTGGCGATTCCTGGCTCCAGCCCGCTCCCTCCAGTCTCAGGAAGGCTGAGGCCAGAGCGCGGGGAGGGAGGGAGTCGCCCCCCTGGCACCTCCCGACCTCGGCGTCCTCAGAGTGGGTCCCGGCCAGCCGGCTTCGGAAGGCCGCCACGCCGGCGCCCTCCAAGTGTCCCGACGCCAAAGACCACCGCCAGCAGCGGCTTCTCGGGCGGACGCTCACCTTTCCCCAGGGCCGCCGGCTCCTCCTCGGCCGCCCAGCCAGTGCGCTCCGGCGCCGCGGTTTCTGACTCCGGGCCGCCACCGGTCAGCAGTCCGTCAGCCATTTCAAATTTCCGCGGGCGGCCGCCCCAGACCAGTAACGTGGTGACGCCGGCGCTTCTGATTGGATAGACGGGCCGAGGCTTTCGGCCGAATAGAGCCCCGCCCCCTGCAGCCTCCTCCAGGCCTGCGGACAGCGCCTCGGCGCCATCTACTGGCCAGGCGGACCGCTGTTCTCCTCCATCTTCCTGGTCCTTGGCTTACTAGGACGAACTTGGACAAAGTTGAATTGGAACATAATTTGGGATGATTTTCGAAAAACTAACAAGCCATGCCTGGAAATGAGGTATAGTGGAAAAGACTCTGGATTGAGAGTCAAAAACATAGTATTTAGACTTTTTTCGGCCATTATTAGCGATATTACCTCAGCAAGTCATTTCACCTCTCAGAAGTACATCTTCAACTGTGACAGGACGTTGGCCTCGGTGGCCCCCAAATGCTCACCACCAAAAATCAGTCTCTCTCCTTCTCTTTCTAGCTCTCTCTCTCTCTAATACACACACATACTGCATATTTTCAAAGAATGTCAGATTAAATTTACTAAGTAAATTTATTAATTTGTATTAATCAAAGGCAGCTATAACTTCCGATAATAGCTAACATTTACTGAGTACTGTGTGCAAGACACCCTCCTGCATGCTTTACTTGCATTACCTCATTTAATCTTCAAAACCATCGTATGAAACAGGAACTATTACTACACCCATTTTACAGATGAGTAAATGGAGCCTCCAAAAAGTTAAGTTACTTCTCCAATCTAACCCAGCAAAGCCAGGATTTGAAACCAACCAGACTCCAGAAGAAACCCTTTAATGCCTCTGCCAGGCCATCACTGCCAGGACAGGTTACCAGGACACCAGGTAGGATGAGTCCACAGAAGGCCGAGCACCTGGCCATGACAGTTAGCCTGGGGGTCTTTCCACCAACTGCTTTGAAGGAAAACCTCGGGCTAAAGTCTCTCAGATCCCTTATGACTGAAACAAAATGAGCCAGGAGAAGTGATTGTGGAAACTACACTTAATTCAACTAGCTTTCCTGGGAAATAAGATTTCTTTGACTCTTGTGTGCAGAGTCTGACCTTACATTTATTTGTTCACTGAACAAATATTTATTTGGCACCATGAGATAAAAACACAGAAAAAAATAAAATCGAGACTAGCAACAGGCCTTGAGGACTAAGCTAGCTTTCTCATAATTCTCCTCTTGAACCGCCCTGCCCACAAACCTCACGACTGGCAGCATTTCTCCTCACCCACTTCCGTCAGCACCGAGGGCGACAGACCTCTCTTCTCATTCAGTTACCAAACAGTTCGTCAACCTCAAGGTATCACCAAAAGCAGTGCTTCTGGAAAAGTATTAGAAAGAAACAGGAGGCAACAGAGTCAGAGACGTAATACCGATGCTGTTGCAAACTCCATTTAAGGACAAATTATTTTATAAGCTGGCTACATTTGCTATACACAGCCCTTCTCACCTCCAAACCTATGTCAACATTGATTCACCACTTGCTCAGGCTACATCAAAAGATTTTAGGGTTTTCTCCTAAGTGGAGACCTTTTAGGAGCACATATTTCTTGGCAGTTTGCTTTCTCTGCTCCCCCCACTTATCCTAAAAACAGGGTTTTTTTCCTTCCTGCTTTCCAGTCCCTCTACCTGTGACCCATCACAACCTTCCACCTGCCCTGAGGGGGTGTGTCACTTGCTATTCCCTTTTTTAATATTTTTGCTCTCTTTCTCACCACTAGGTTCTTGCAGTGTATCTACACATGGACTCAAAAATATCTGCTTTCCTCGAAAAAACTCCCCAAAGCCCAGCTACAGCCCTGAGATCCTGCCCTCTGATTCCCTCTTTCTCTGTGCCCCAAACCGCTCAGTAGTGCTGTCCCTGTCCTACTTTCGTGAAGGCCAGTAGCTCCCTCCTGAGGCCTCCCCTTCACCCCTCCCTCATCGCCCTCTGCCCTGCCGCAGCAGTGACTCTGCTGACCACCCGCCTCTGTAGTCTTTCCTCCCTGGGCCTCTGGGTCCTCTCTCTCTAGGTCCTCCTTCTAGTTCTCCGACTATAGTACCTTGTCAACTGCAGTCTGAAAGTATTAAATGGAAAATTCCAAAAATAAACAATTCATAAGTTTCAAAGTGTGCACCATTCTGAGTAGCATGAATCATTCCTTTGTCCAGCATATCCACACTGTATATTCTACCTGCCTGGCCCTCAGTGTCAGGGCCAAGGGAAAACTTCCCCTTCACCATCTGAAGGTTCGCTGAAAATCAGTTGACAAAAGGCAGGCTCACAGAAGCAAAGGCATACAAATTTATTAACATGCACGGGCTAGGGAGAGGATCCCAGTGATTACGCCCTCGCCACGCAACGGTGTATAGATTCTTATATACCCTTCTTTTTAGGGGAAAGGGAGGTGGAGGGAGTGTGGATAATTTTAGGGGAGTAGTAAATGATTGGGGGAGAGGGGAATTCAGTGGGCTCGAGAACATACAATGGCCTGGCACAAAGTGTGTTGGGCCTGCAGAGAAGACAATGGTTTGTGACAAGTCTGTGCAGATGTGTTGGCAGACTTCGATCTTTCTTCCTGCTGTACGATTTCAGTTAATGAATATTCAGGGAAGGGCCCAGCAGCAATTGTTTTCTTCTTTGGCAGGTCGGGACATTAGGTAGATAAGAGAACTTCGGAGAACAACTTCATCCTGCACTTTGGGAGAGACAGAGGATTGAGAGACAGGAGTAGAGGGGGAAGGTCAGAGAGACCTTGAGGCTTCTTTTTCAGTTCAACACGTCAAAGTGCCATATTTTGGGGTATCAGTTTCTGGGCCCCAATATCTCTTAGTAGCCATCTTATGAGATCAAAAAAACATAGTACGGTATATACAGAGTTTGGTACTCTCCATGGTTTCAGGCATTCACTACGGGTCTTGGAATGGACCCCCAAGGATAAGGGGGACTTACATACTCCTTCCTGTCCTCATCCCTCTTCCTGCCTCTCAAATTTCCTAAGCCTGGGTGATTGCCAAGGCCACATACTAAAGAAGGTCTAGTGTGGGCTGTGGCAATCACTGCGGCCACGCAGGAATGCAGATTTGCTGATTCATCTGACAAATAATAAATCCATTCAGTACAGACCGCGGACCAGATGGTGTTCCAGGTTCAAGGGAAACAGGCAAAGAAGGCAGACGAGTTCACGGCCTAGTGGGGATACACAACGAATAAGTAAAAAAATCAATTAACAAGCAAATTTCAATTATAAAAAAATACTAAAAATAAAATAAAATTTAGCCATGTGACAGAGAATGATGAGGGGGACAAATTCAGATTTTTATGCAAAAACATGATTTTAAACTGTTATCAACTAATTTTTTTTAAAATTTAAACACTATGCAAGCCAGAAGAATTTTATTTCCCAGGCGAAATTGGCCCATGGCCCACCTAGATTACAACCTCTGTCCCAAGCCCCAGGTACTCAAAGAATAGTCCAGAGACTAGGAGCTTATTAGAATTGCAGAGTCTACCTGCACCCCTACAGACCTGCTGGATCAGAATCTGTGTTTTCAAAAGATCCCCAGTCCCCAAGTGACATCATTCACATTTGATGCAAAGGCCTTTAGAACTCACCTCTCTCCCAAGGCCGTTTGGATGTTCACATTCCTGTTGGAAAACGTGGCCTGGGGTTGTTGCCTGTGATTCGCGTTCGCTGTGCTGCAAAGCCAGACCTCAGTGCAGCCCATCGTCCAGCTCAGACGCATCTCATCAAGTCCCACCCTCCCTGTCACAGCCTGTGTGGCTCAGCACCATCTCCCCTTCAGGACAGCACCTGGGCAGTCACCAACCCTACCCCTGCCTCCAGAATTAATTGCTCCCCTCTGGCTGCGCCTAGTACAGGAGTCTCACACTGAAACACCCAGAAGGAGCAAGGAGGTGACAGAAAGCAAAGAAGTGGGCACTTGCATAAGTCCAGGGGGAAGTGGTGGGTGTAGATCCAGTGTTGCCATGGTGGCCTTTCAAAAGAAGCCAGAAATCTAGATTTTTATGAGAAATATCCTATATTAAAATGCTGGCAACAAGTTTGTAAGATTTTAAACACCATGCCAGCCAAATAAAACCTGTCTATACACCAGGGCTCGCAACCTCTGAGACAGAGTCCACTTGTTACATTGTATCAGAGACCGTGAATTCTTCCAAGGTGAGAACCATGCCATGTTCCCCTTTGTGTTGCACCTACTAGTAAGCCCAACTTAGCAAAGGGAAAAGCTAATTTAACACTGTTAATTAATACTACAATACTATTATATGTAATGTAATACTTCCGTGTCATTAGCCAAAATGCTTGGGTTTACGGTCAAGCAGCCAGGGCCCTGGGCCATGTCGGCCTCTGCCACCCAGACGCTTCCCAGAACCACAGATTCATCATGGGCATCGTTACCTGAGTCAGGGGCGGTGAATGCTGCCTGTATTGGGGGCCCTCTGCCCCTAAACCAGCCTCCCAGCTTTCCCAAGAACAGAAACAGCCTGCAGGGCGGTGATTTATTGTATAGCTGAGCGCTTCGATCCCCTGGAGACGGGGTCCCACCGTACGTTGTTACTGGACAGTCACAGGATGGTTTCCGAGAGCACACTGTACAGTGCGCATTCTGAACAGCAGAGAAAGGGAGGGAGGGCCCCCAATCATTCCAGGAGGAATCGCACTGGGTGAAGCTCGTCTCTCTACCTGCAGTTACAGGGAGCTCCACGGGAAGGGACGATAGCCAACTAAGGTTTGTGAACTAAAATAAAATCTTAAGGCTCCCTCCCACCGGCTGACTGAATGGACCCCCTCCTGGCCAAGGGGATATCCTAAAACTAAATTGCCTGCCAGGAGGAGGGAGGTCAGACAGGCCTCATCATACCCCCCTCCCTTCTTGGAGACATCCTTTGTAACCCATCAACAGGCCTGGACTATGCAAGACACACCTGCAGGTCCTCAATTTACACCACAAATACATGTCCAGTGGCTTATCTCCG